GTGTCAGGGGAGGCTTAGGTTGGATATCAGGAAAAATTTCTTCACTAAACGGGTATCAAGCACTGGGCAAGGCTGCCCAGGGAAGTGGTGGAGTCCCCATGCCTGGAGATGTTCAAAAACTGTGTAGATGTGGCACTTCAGGACATGATTTAGCAGGCATGGTGGTGTTGGGTTGATGGTTGCACTTGATGATCTCAGAGGTCTTTTCCAACCTTAATGACTGTGTGGTTCTGTGATTCTAAGATCAGAGTTCCCAGATCTGGCTGCTGATTTGAATACCATCAGTTAGCCACACATATAGAGTGAGCTCTTTATTCTTATTATCATAGCACAGAAGATGCTTCTTCATTGGGAAACGAACTGCCAGTGCTTCTGCAGATCATCTTTCCCCAAATAGAAATTAATGCTAATTAAGGATACAGCGATTTGTCTCAATACCATTATCTTTTTTTCTTACAGGCATACCTGCCTTCCACTTTCTGGATGACCTTGCTGGATGCTTTTTACCAAAGTCTCGTTTGCTTTTTTGTGCCTTACTTTGTAAGTACTGGCTACGAAATACATTTCTACATTTTGACTTACTAAAAACCCAGGCAAATTAGAGAATTAAATAAAGGGTTTGATGTTGCCTCCTCCTTTGTAAATGTGTACGAACAGGATCGTCATTGGAACTGAGCTGAACTGTGTGCGTGCAGATGTGTACGGTATCGAAACGTTTCGTGCTGTTTTGTGTGTTAGGACTGGGTGTAAAGAATGAGTTACGCTGACCACTGTCTTCTGTTGCAGACTTACTGCGGCTCGGATATAGACGTTTTCTCTTTTGGAAACCCTATAAATACAGCGGCGCTCTTCATAGTCCTGTTTCACCTTCTCATTGAGTGCAAGTCTGTGGTGAGTACTTTCTTTCAAAAGTATATTCCTAGCTATATTACTATATATATAAAAAACCTATATTACCTTTCGGTAAATTTAAGGAGAAGAAAGAGCTTTATATACAAAACAGAACAAGTATAAAAGGGCCAAAACTTAAGTATTTTGATATGTGACCATTTGAGCTCTCCCAATGCGCCTGTTGTTGGAGCCAATAGAATTATTCATACGACTAAAGTTAACAAAGTTTGGCCTCAGAATTATTGGTAAATAGTGAAAGGATCCTGCCTCGTTAGGGCACGGCGGTCTGGGGGGTGTCGGTTTCGTTTTGCAAATGGTGAAACCAGGCAGTGATCTGCTGAGCCTTCGTTAGTTCCCAAGCTTGTGTCTCGGAGACGATGGTGAGAACTGTTGATTCTGGATGCTTGGAACCGAGGATCTGCTCCGTGGCCAGGACGGACAATGCAGAGGGGTATTTTGGTGCCAGAAGTAGAGAACCAATGTGCTGCAGAAATGCTACTCCAGTTTTTAATGAAGTCTGCACAAGCGAAAGTATCTGCATTAGCTTGGATAGATTTACGGCACTTTCAAGGCTTACTTGGCTGTTTTGCATAATTTTAAAGAAAATACAATAATATGTGCAGTAGGAGGATACACATTAGTCGGTTTTATTTTTTTCTCTGTCACTTTTTTGAAAAATAATTTTTTGGATTGCTTCATGATGGATGAAATTGCAAGTTGTGATTCAGTCTTTTCGTTGTTCTTTTGGGAGCATGGCAGCAGTGATAAAAATTGTCTTTATTGAGAAGATACGGGTAGCAGGAGTGTATCCACGCTCTGAATAGGAAAACATTGCTTAAATGGGGTTTATTTGGCATTTTTGAATGTCGGCAAGCCGTCAGACCGATGACAGTGTTGTTTCCCAGTGACTGTTATAGCTGTTTAGGTATAAAATTATAGAAAACTCCAGTGTAGAACGGTCGATCAGTGTCTCAAGCAAGACATGTAAGGGTGGTGTCCTCTGAAGATCTTGCCTCCCTTTGCTTAAGGAGGCTTTCTCTGCTGCTGGAGGTGGTTGCCGAAGGCAGGTGGCACAAAAAACCGTCGTTCGCAAGGGAATGCAAGGCTATGAATTTAGTAGAATAACAAAAATGAAATGGCTGGCTTGCCTGTGACCTGGAGGAAGCAGGCTCCTTTCTTCCTGGAATGTTTTGTGCAGAACTAGGAGTATTACTCGAACAGGTCTGTGCTCAGTTCCGTGAAGCAGCTGTCCTTGGAGGAGGGGTGTGTGCGTGGTCACGCGTGCCGGTGTGCACACGTACGGGTGTTACAGGTCCTTCTGGGCACGGCTGAAATCCGATTTCTTTCCTTTTCTGAACGGCAGACTTGGATACACACGGTGGTTATAGCTGGCAGCATCCTGCTCTACTTTGTCTTCGCTCTGGCTTTTGGGGCAACCTGCAAAACCCACAACCCGCCGTCGAATCCTTACTGGATCATGGAGAAGCACGTGGCAGACCCCGTGTTTTACTTGGTTTGCCTCCTGACCACTTGTCTTGCTCTGCTGCCCAGGTGCGTTTCTGTTTTATAGTAATAAAATCGGTTTTCTTTGAGTCAGTGATGCTATAAATCTCTCTGGCTAGAGGTCTTCCTCCCCCCCTGCTCCCCAGTGTAAAGAAAACTTCGTACCTGTACGAGCCCAAGCCACGTGAGGACAGCTCTTTAGTGGCGTGTTCTCAAAGGAAGTTTCAGTAAAGAAAAAATTTCTTTTGTGATTTGTATTATAATTCAGGGCTTTCGCTGGGGTTTGTAAGGAGCGGTTCTACAGAGGGACAGAGGTTGGGTGCCCTGCTGACCGAAAATTCGCTGCAAAAATCTGAGATGAGAACTTTTGCCCAGCCTAAGTTGCCTGTTAACTCAGTTCTAATATGAATTATTCCTAGAGTTTAATTCTGGAACATCACTTGTACTCTGTATTCCTCTTACTGCATGTGGTGCTGTGTTTCTTTGGCCTTTGCTTTCATTTTCGTTCTGCTTCTGGTGAATTCTCTGGCTTCTGCAAAGGTTGTGAGTTTTAGAACGATGCTCTGCCTACTCTTCCCAGCTTTCCAGGTCTATATTAGTGCTAGATGACCAGTGCAAAACAGCAGTGACTGACAAACAGCTTCTCAGCTGGAAGCATGAATTTTTCTGGGCCTGATTTTTTCCACGATAGCTCTGAACTCCCTGTGTTTGCACTGAAGTGCCAGGCGAAACTCTAAGCAGCGCGCTGATTCCGATACCTTTTCCTGGGGCCTGACGCCGTGTGCCGAAAGCTCCGCTTCCCGTGCAGCTGGGACCCTGGATCCGGGAGCTGGCAGCGCACGTGGCTGCAGTGACCCTTCGGCAGGAGCGCTGCGCTCGGGGCAGAAACGTGGAAGCAATGGAGATCTGTCAGTGAAAACACCAGTTTTAAAACATGTGCCGGTGCAGTTGGTGGCCGTCTAGTTTATGTTCGCAAAACGGCACCTGCGAAAGCTGCTCCAGAGGCTGCTGCAGCCCCGGGGTGACTCGGAGGGGGTTTGGTTCCCTTGAGTGTTGCTGGAAACAGTTCCGAGTCTGCTTCTAAACAGCTGAGTTGAAGCCGGGTTTATTTTGCAGGTACTTGCTGCGAGTTCTCCAAGGAACGTTGTTCCCGTCTCCGGCGTTGAGGGCCCGGCGCCTCGACAGGCTGGGCCCCGAGGAGCGGAGGGAAGCCGTGCGGAGGTGGAGAGGTGACTGCGTCGGGATCCGTGGGCTGGAGTTCCGGGCTGCTGCTGGGGCTTGCGGCTCAGCCCCAGGCGCTCTGCCAGAGGAAGGAGGCATCGCCAGGGTTTTGCCGACACCTGAACCACCTTTTCAGGCCTGTTCAGGAGATGGGTTGGTGGAGGACACCTCCTTCTCACCAGACATTGGGGCTGGGCCTGGGAATACAAACGGCTTGAACTCTGGGAAGGCCTCGTTTCTGAACTCACCTGAGGAAAATGATCCAGACGTGTTTGACAGTCACGGCCCCGGTGCCAGAGTCTCTGCGCGCGCTTCTGAGGGCAGCGGTGCTGCTTCCCGAGCACACCAAGCAAGTCAGAAGCCTGTCTGGTGTGAGGAAGACTCTTTAATTTAAGAATGCTAACTGTTTAAAACCCGAGAGTAATAACTGCTGATTTATGCTACGTTGTGGTTTTGTTTCCTTCAGCCAAGGTGGATGATGCGCACATTTCCTTAAAAGCTTTTTTGTTTATAAAGCTTTTCAGTACTTTATTAAGATGTTCAAGATCTAAACGGCCAGGTTGTCTGTTGTGTCTCTTCACACAGTAGACTTTGCATACTAATTTCTTGCATGCAGCGCTGCAGAACACCTCGTGGTGTGACGGAGGGGACGCTGCACGAGTAAGGACTCGCAGGCTCCAGCCGAGGTAAGCCGACCTGCTCCCCTGCACCGCCGCCCCAAAATCCTGCCGCTCCCCGGGATTCAGCGCCTGCTGCAGCGCGGAGCGGGATGCCGTGTGACCGGGCGGCGCGTTGCGAGACGCCTCCCGTGTGCCCGTACAGCCAGGGTTTTAACGAGCGTGGTCCCGTTCGCTCAGCGGGCTGGCGCGTGGGCCAAGCGCAGCGTGACACGTGCCATGGGTCTCCCTCACCTTCCTCTTCCGCAGAAAGAGCAGGTTCTGGAGCAGCCTTCTGTTCTCCCTGATCGCTCGCCCTCCTGCTGCACCCCTTCTTCTCACCGGGCTGCTGCTTCTCCTCCTCACCCAGCCCCGGCGCTGGCTGCCTGACTTTGAGCTCTGCCTCACGCCCGCGCTGCAGAATTGCCAGCCAGCGGCAGCAGGTAGCTCCAGCCTGTCTTCAGGCCTTCTCCTGTCAGCAGCAGCCTCTAGCTGACAGCACTGCTCTTCCTCGCTGCCAGGTGGCTTGACGTTCCTCCAGGCTTTGCTAACAGACAGCTCCAGCACCTCTGAAGGCTGCTCAAGGGCAGGTGTCACGCGTTGCGTGTCCCAGCTGCGGGCCCTGTCGCTCGTCTGTCCGGGGGGTGTCCCGCCGCTGCCCGTTCCCTGCTGCTCCGTGCCCTGCACGGGAGCTGGCTGAGGTGCACCCGGCTATTTCTGGATTCCAGACTGTCTAAATTCTGCTGCCTCCTCACTTCCCCCCCCAGAAAGTGACAGGGCCAATTTGTGGAGGAATTAGGAAATCGTTCCTATCCACTAGCACCTGTTGAAATCGTTTCCTCAGACTGGAGCTGCTCATGAGTTATTAGCATTGCGCCCACTTTTTGGTTCTGTTTCTTTCTAAAACTTTCTGCTTTCAACCTGCCAAGATTTGTGTGTTTATTTTTAGGCACCGCCTTTGGGGCAAGGGCTCTGCTTTTTAACTGAACCGTGCGTTTTCCGTGCCCGTGATCAGCATTACGTGTTCCACGGCCTTTAAGGGCTGTGAAAGAATTCAAACAAACGCTGTGCGGTCTGCGGCAGCTGCTGCTGCGCGGGCAGACGGCGAGGGCGTGCGGCGTTCCTGCAGAAGCAGGGCACCACGTGTTACCAACAGTTTCAAAGGGTTCTGTTTTGGCAAGGGAGAATGTGATGAGGGATGGCTCCATCCCTGGTGTTAGTGAGGAGAAAAATACCCTTTTTTTTAAAGCCTGCAGAAGAACAGCAGTGGAAGGGGCCAGTGATGACAGGCACTTCTGCAAAGGTTTTTTTTTTTTTCTTTTTTTCTTTGGTTCAACATGTGACAAAATATTTTTGGTAAGTTCTAGCAGAAGGTTAGCGGGGACCTTGGAAGCAGAGGCAGCTGTTCAGATTCCAAGAGATCACGTCGAGTTGCAGTGACATTTCTGAGAGGTTTGTCTGTAGCATCCTTCGTGCTGCGGGCAGCACCTCCTGGCCCTGGGCTCCAGGTATCCTGAGGGACACGTCTTGGCCTTCTCCAGAACCCACCAGAGCTGCCAGGCGCTGGAGAAGATGCACCCGGTGGGTTGTGCAGCGAGAGGCTGCTACCGGGGCAGAGTCGTGCAGGAGCAGCGATGCCGGGGCTCGGTGGAGTCTCCTGCTCTGCTCAGCGGCCCCGGGCAGGCTCGGGGGGGCCCCCATCCTTCCTAGCAGATGTTCTCCTCCTGGGATGACCTCAGGAGAGGCAGGCCAGGCCAGGGCTTGCCTGCCCTCAAATACTGCTTTTGTTTCTGTTGTCTCAGAAACAAAATGATGATGGTGAGGGGACTGGAGTATCTCTCCTACAAGGAGAGGCTGAGGGAGCTGGGCTTGTTCAGCCTGGAGAAGAGAAGGCTGAGAGGGGACCTTAGAAATGCCTCTAAATATCTGCAGGGGGGGGTGTCAGGAGGATGGGGCCAGACTCTTTCCAGTGGTGCCCAGCGACAGGACAAGGGGCAATGGGCACAAACTGAAGCAGAGAACATTCCAGCTGAACCCGAGGAAGAACTTCTTCCCTCTGAGGGTTGGGCTGGGGGACCCACAGAGGTCCCTGCCAACCCCGACCAGTCTGTGATTCTGTGAATGCTGCTTGTGCACCTGAAATCTGTTGCCTGGCTTCACGTGTGCCCACAGAGAAGAGCCTGTTCGGTTCTGTGGCTCTCGAGGAGGAGCTCGGGGACCCACAGTGACCTGAGACCATGCGGGGCTCGGCTCTCCCCTTGCTGTCGCTGTGAAGAGGGGCTGGGGGCACAGCGCTGGCCTCCGGCGGGTCTGGCAGGCAGCTGGCCACGTCGGCTCGTAGGAGGGCAGTGAGCGTTCGGAGCAAGGGCTGCCAGAGTCCCCGGTGACTGTGGGCCGTGCTGGGGACACAGCTAGGCCAGGGAACGCGCGGGCCGTCAC